AACAAAAAAGACTAATTAACACCTCTATTATTCAAATTTACTCACCAACCACTAAAGCCAATGATTAAGAAATTGCAGAATTCTATCAACTTTTTCAGTCTGAAATCGATTAAACATACAATCAAGGTGTATTGATAATTACTGGTGATTGTAATGTGAAAGTTGAGAACAAAGAGAAAGGACCTGAAGTTGGGAAATATGGCTTTCATGATAGAAACAATGCTGGAGATCACAGGATAGAATTTTGTAAGACCACTGACTTATTAATTGCAAGTACTTTTTTCAACAACATAAATGACAACTATACATGTAGATTGTTGTTGTTAAGTGCCGTTGAGTCAATTCCAACCCATAGCAACCCTGTATAGAGTTTCCAAGGAGCAGCCCGTGAGCTTGAACCACCAAACTTACAGTACAAATGACTTTTTAGTCTGACGCATTAGTCCACAACACCACACCAGCAAAGATGTCAGCTTGAGGACTAAGGTGCGACTGACCCGAGCCATGGTATTTTCAGTAACCTCTTATGCATGTAAAAGCTGGACAGTGAATAAGGAAGACTGTAGAATTTATGTGTTTGAGTTATGGTGTTGGAGGAGAATATTGAAAGTGCCATGGGCTGCCAAAAGAACCACTAGATCTGTGTTGGAAGAAGTGCTGGCAGAGTGCTCATTGGAGGCCAGAATGGCCAAACTTTGTCTCTCATACTTGGGACATATTGTTAGGAGGGACCAGTTGCTAGAGAAGGATATCATATTTGGTAAGGTAGAGGGCCAGAGAAAAAGAGGAAGACCCCCAGAGAGATGGATTGGTAAAGTGACAGCATCAATGGGCTCAAGCGTATTAACAATTGTGAGGTTGGCCCAGGACCAGGCAGTGTTTAGTTCTGTTGTTCATATGGTCGCTAAGAGTTGGTACCGACTCGATGACACATAACAACAACAACATAAATGTAGAGGAGTCCTGGTGTGGCACTGTTGGATAAACACTGGATTGCTATCCACAAGGTCAGCAGTTCAAACCCACCAGTGGCTCCTTGCAAGCCCTTTACAGAGTCGCTATTTGTTGGAATCAACTCAATGGCAGTGAGCATGAGTTTTTATGTAAACTCATGGAGGAGCCCTGATAGTGTAGTGGATTACACATTGGTCTACTAACCACAAGGTCAGCAGTTCAAATCCATTAACTGCTCCATGGGAGAAAGATGTGTCTTCCTGCTCCTGTAAAGACTATTTGTTATTGTTGTTCAGTGCCTGTTGAGGGTTCCCCAGAAGTAACTGCCTGTTAGGTCTGAACTGCTGACCTTGCGGTTAGCAGTCCAGTACTTATCCTATAGTGCCACACCAAGACTTCAATTTGGCATGAGAACTCAGGGAATGCTGGAGTTGTTGTTAAGTGCCATTGTGTAGTGTCACCATGGCTGTAAATCTCCACAGGAGCAGAAAGCCTCATCTTTCTCCTGCTGAGGATGCTCATGGGCTCAAATCATTGATCTTTCAGTTAGCAGTTCAGTGCTTATCTTATAGTATCATCAGAACTCTAATGACAGCCACAGAAATCCTATTCAGAGTCACTATGAGTCGGAACTCACTGTACAGCACACAACAAGAGCAAATACACGTAGGCATTGCCAGATGGAACACACAGGAATCAAACTGAGTGCGTATATGGGAAGAGACAACGGAGAAACTGTGTCGTCAGCCAAAGCAAGGCCAGGAGCTGACTGGTACAGACCATATATTGGTTGAAGCTGAAGGTGGAAGCAGAATGGTTGCTGAGCTGAATTTGACTTGATGGCAAACTTTTTTTCTTCCTTTCTTTCATGATGTGTGTATTATTGCTGTGGTGTTTGTATAGAAAATAATTGGAGCACACACACTATTATTAAAATCCTATTTCTTTGGTTAAACACCTTGCCCTGTATTGAGCCGTCCTCATGTTACTTCATTGTTTGGAACACCATGTCTGTAATCATTAAAAAATACATATTTATTTTTCATCCCTTTGTTCTTCTCTCCTTCCTAATGTTCCTTTTTTCCACCTCCTTGTCTCCTTCATGTCTTTACTGTCTCTTCCTCCCTTTTTTTGACCATTTATAGGGCCCAGCCCTAGAGTCCTGGTGTGGCATTGTTGGATAAATACTAGACTACAAGGTCAGTTTGAACCTGTGTCAGCGGTTCAAACCTATCCCTCAGAAACCTTAAACAGGGTTGCTATGAGTGAGAACTGACTTGATGAGGAACTGACTCAATGGCACCAAACAGCAACAACAAGGCTCAGCCCGAGCCGCCATCTTTTCTGCCAGAACCATTGCTTAAGCTCTAGAGCTGGACTTCACACTTTTTCTCTCTTGCCCCTATTTTCCATTCTTCACACTGGAGATCTTTTTTAAACAAATCTGATCATGCCCCTTGCCTTGTCTTGCCTGCTGAAGCCTCCCGTTTAGCCCCTCGAGGCCTCAGAGTGAAACCATGGAGCCCTAGAGGGCTGTGTGTGTGTGGGAGAGGGGATGTTGTGTCTCCTCTAGCTCTCCTGGCTCACTTTGCTCCCGTTGGCCCTTGTCAGACTCCTGGAGCCCAGCTGCTGCCAGGTACCACTTCAGGTCCTTCCACACCATAGACCAGCTAGCTGAGCAGACCCACCTGACCAAGCACACATGCTCAGCTCAGGAACTTAGTGTCTCTGTCCGAAAGGCTCTTTCCCCCTGCCCCCCCCCCCATTACTGTCTATCACTGTAACAAGCTAATTGTTTGGTTTTGTTTTAAACACTTGACATAAACTAGGGCTATCACTTTTGTTGGTATGTTTCCCTCAGATTGAACGTTCCATGAAGTATAAATCCTTGTCTACCTTGTCCTCATTTTATAACCAGGGCCTAACCATCTTCAAGATTCCTGATGTGGCACTGTGGGATAAGCACTGGACTGCTAGCCACTAGGTTGGCAGTTCAAACCCACCAGCCGCTCCTCGGAAACCCTATACAGTGTTGCTATGAGCCGGAACCAACTTGACAGCACTTACATATTAAGGAAATAGTTGTCGTTGGGTGACGGCGTGTTGGTTCCAGTTCATAGTGACATCATAGGATGTCCGAATTGATAAATCTTTTCAGGAGCAGAAAGTCCCATCTTTCTCCCTTGGAGTGACTGGTGGGTTTGAACTGCCTACTTTGTGGTTAGCAGTACAGTGCTTCTCCTACAGAGCCACAATGCTCCTAATATATAATGGGTGCTCAGTAATATTAATTAAGTACATAAGACACCACCCCTGCCTTAAAGAATACAGAGTCTTGGGGGGCAAATAAAGCAGTGAGTTACTACACAGCATTGTAGATGCTACTGGGGGTCTTCAGAGTAGTGGGCTATTGCGGACATATCACAGGTCTTACTAGAAAAATTGGAGGCAGCTTCAGAGATGAATCAGTTGGTTCTGGTGTATGACATGTGGCCCTCTCAGGGATCACTGTGCAGAGTTTCCCCTTTGTTAACACAACATTTTCAGTGACTTTAAAATAGGTTTTCATTGTTGTTTTCTTTTCATTTCTAATTCATGTGTAGAATGACTCCGTTAGTGATAGGTAATAGGAACATACTGATGTAGCTTAAGGAAAGAGGACTATTAGGATAAATAGATGTTTAATGAAAGGGTTGAGCCACCAAACCACAAGGACAGAGAAGAAACTATGATTCAGGAATACGTGAAACAGCAACTCAGATGCTCTCTGAGCTTTTCTAATTTTCTTTCCATGTTGGTCTCAGGTTGGTTTTTTTTTTTTTTTAGCAGGTCGATGTCTAGATAGTTCCTGTGGTCACTCCCACAGGTGTAGTCAACATGGCTGGGCCAGTTTCCCTCTTGATTGGTTCAGTTTGAGTCACGGGGTCTCTGGTGTGGAGCAGTCAACTAACACCAAGAAGTGAAATCCTGTAAAGGCAAGGAGAGCTCTGCTGCACATGTGTGGGTAGAAGTCACAGAAGAGAGGCGTACTGCCTGAGAGACATGAGGACAAAGTCCAGTACACAAGATAGTAGAGTCGGTTAAAGTGAAAAGTCTTTATTGTACTGTTTTGGGAAACTCTCCATATAAAATTCTGTGAACATGGGTGCAAACAAGCAAAATATCCTCTTCTGTGGCCCAAGAGAGTTGTAGGTGATTTGGAAAGCATGAAGGTTTTAGGGTCCGTGAGCTATGAGTACAATTTTGTTCAACCCCAAGAACCTTAGTTTGAGGTGCTGTTAAAGTGGTTGTTGTTGTTAGGTGCCATCAAGTCGGAACCGACTCATAACGACCCCATGCACAGCAGAACGAAACAATGTCCGATCCTGGGCCAACCTCACCACCGCTGCCACACTTGAGTCCATCAATGATGCCACCTGGCCAATCCATCTTGTTAGGGGTCTTCCTCTTTTTCTCTGACCCTCTACCTTACCCAGCATGACATCCTTCTCCAGCGACTGTTTCCTCCATTTTTTAAAAACTTTTTATTGTGAATTAGGTAAGGTTTACAGACAGATCAATTTTCCATTCAACAATCCGTACACATTTTATTTCATGTCATTAAGTCCCCACTAATTAAGATCACTTATCTCTGTGTTTCCTCCTTATTTCCTAATCCTTCTGAATGTTGTCCTTGGGCAAATCTTGAGAAAGTGCTGCCCTTTTGGAATCAAATGATTGATTATTCTAAAGTGTGCATACCTCACTAATATTTTTGTTGTTCTTGTGGAGGTGGTGGTTGTGTGCCTTGGAGTCGGTTTGGTTCTGATTCATAGTGACCCTCTACAGGGTTTCTGAGGCTGTAAATCTTTACGGGAGCAGAACACCTCTTCTTCCTTCCGTGGAACCACTGGTAGTTTTGAACTGCTGACCTTGAGATTAACAGCCTAACTTGTAACCACTATGCTACCAGAGCGCCTTATAGTCTGATTGCTTTGGAGTCAGCATTCTTGACGTTTTCTCACAAACTGAATTCCCTCTCTACCCTGTTCCCTTTTCCATTGCAGATTGTACTCGAAAACAGCAGCCGAGAAGACAAGCATGAATGTCCCTTTGGCCGCAGCAGTATAGAACTGACCAAGATGCTGTGTGAGATACTGAAAGTGGGCGAACTGCGTAAGTACACTCTTTTCCCACGTAGGTGTCAAGCTTGGTGGAGACCCAGCTTCTGTGGTTGTGCCCCCACCAACACAAAGCATTCCCCAGGTCTTGGCAGCTTTGCATAGTATTCACAGTACATGGATACACCCTTTGGCTCAGGCTTCCTGTATATAGTTCTGCATATCTACTCTGGGAATGAGCATTACTAAAATCCACAGCAATAGAGAAATATGCAGCTACTACAGCAGAATTGTAAATGTAAACATTATGAAAATGGGTATATATTACAGCAGGCTTGAATTTAATACTCTGTTTAGGAGAAAGAGCTATGGATTCTTTTGTAAATTCCAGCTTATACCTACTAGATCATTTTCTTCTCTTTCTCCGCAGTTTTCTCTATAAAGAACAATTGAATAGCCTAATGAAAGATTCTTGCTTCCAGCGTTTCAGTTGTGTGGACTGCTTTCTCAAAGAAGGAAGGAATTACTGAAGATAATGGGTGGCTGCTAATGAAAAATGTGCCCAGTGATTGGCTGCTTATTATACTTTGTCTTTCTTCTAGTAAAAAATTTAGGAGACATCAGAAAAACAAGTGCATAATATTCTTGTTGCTTTGTACTCGTTAGCATAATTTAACTTTAACCTGGTTTAGGTTTATCAGTCCCTATTCTCGTCTCACTTTTGAACCCATTTATAAAGTAGCTACTGTTCATTCCCTCCAACATCTACAATGTAGGAAAGCCTGGAAACCAGTCCTCGTCGGCTTAATAATGTAAGCCGCCGAGAGAGGACTGCTGATTTATGCTGGAAAAACATTGGTGTGTTTGGTTTTATTGTGAAAACATAAATATTCAGTTGCCAGTTTGATAGCTTAAAATAATGGTCTGAAATGATTAATGGGAAGGAGCCCAATGGCTAAATTAGAAACGGGCTTCTGTTTTATTTACAAAGTAGAACTGACTGCAGATACTGCTGAGGTAAACTACAACAGTTGAGTTTGGTAAGGAAAAACTAATAAGGCTTCGAGGAGGTTTGACCAAACCCTGTAGCTCTTACCATCTCCCAGTGGGGATGGGAAAGGAGGGGGGCTTCTGAGCAGGCAAAAATCATTGCTGTGTTTATATGCAAATTTCTCACATCCTATAAGGCTTGCAACTACACATCCCCTCCTGCTGTAACTTCCTGTGTACATTATATGCATGTGAACAGTATTTACATGTGCTCATTATTTGCAGAAAAATATAGTATTTGTGAATCAGGGGAGTTTTGCACTAGAACCTTAGTTCTAATTTTGCATGGGAACCTTTGGTTCTAATAGACCCCAAGATCAGTTTGAACTGCTAGTTCCGTGGTTCAAATTTACCGGCTGCTCCTTGGAAACCCTATGCCAAGGTCACTGTGAGTCGGAACCAACTCAACAGCACTTAGCAACCTAACCTAGAAGATTTCCCTACCAATCTGCTGCTTATAGTCTGTTGTAATTCACAGTGACCCATAGGTAGCAGAGAACTGTGCTCCACAGAGTTCCAATTTCTGATTTTTAAAACAGATTGGCAGGCCTTTCTGAGGTGCCTCGGGGTGGATTCAAACCTCCAACCTTTTGGTTAGCAGTAGAGTTGCATTCATTAACTGTTTGCACCACCCAGGGACTCCTCTGGTTTCAGCTTACCTGGATTCTGTCTGTGAGCTCTCCTTTCTCCTCCCTCCTTGGACTAGCGGGTTGAGCATTCTGTCCACAGTAACCTATTGTTTGTTGAGCTTAAGGAACTAAGTCTGGAGTTAAACAGATCCCATTAAATTCCTCAGCCTGATAACTGTGGTCTTTTTTTGTGTATTTCAATTTTATTGGGAAATTGCAAGGGTCACTTGCTGAAAAAAAACATTGCAACACCGTCTCTGATTTTTAGGAACTGGGGAATAGTTGTGCTCTCGGCTACTTGGCTGTCAAAAGGAGCCCTGGTGTCCTAACAACGGGCAGTTCGAGTCTATCCAGTGACTCTGCAGAAGAAACACTTGGCGATCTGCTGCCATAAAGAATATTGTTGTTGTTATGTGCCGTGGAGTTGGTTCCGACTCATAGTGACCCTGCACAGGGTTTCCGAGGCTGTAAATCTTTACGGGAGCAGAAAGCCTCATCTTTCTCCCATCAAGCAGCTGGTAGTTTCGAACTGCTGACCATGAGATTAGCAGTCTGATTCATAACCACTATGCTACCAGAGCTCCTTACCATAAAGAATAAAGCCTGGAAAACCCTATGGGCAGTTCTACTCTTGTCACTTGGGGTCAATATGAGTGGAACATCAGCTTGATGAAATGCAATCACAGCAGCACTTGGCCGGCAGTTCTTGTGCCCAATTGTTATACTGCATTGCTCTTTTCTTGTTACTTCCATGTTCACCTTTGCCAGGGCACACATCAACTATCAATGTTCCTTTGGATGGTAGTAGAAGCCACACCTTTCTGTGCTATGGCATGCTCTACCCGAGGTGGGGATGGGGGACACACATGATTTAAGCACTCAATTATTAGCTGAAAGGTAGGAGGTTCAAGTCCATATAGAAGTGTCTCCAAAAAGAAGACCCAGTAATCAATCTGCTTTCAAAAGATCACAGCCATTGAAAACCCTATAGAGTAGTCCTATTCAAACATATGGAGTTCTCATGAGTTGGAATTGACTTGGCAGCAGCTGGTTTGTTTATTTTCGGTTGAGGTACCAATGGGAAGTCATCTGGTGGGTGTAGGGGAATTGTGCAGGATGAGCCTTGGTACTTCCCACTTACCAGATTGAGTGTCATCACTGTGCTTGGGGTAGGTGGGTGCAGAGTATGGTGCTGTCATTCGGGGCCGTACTGAGCAGCCTTCCCAGCCATTTGAAGAATGGGACAATAAGCCAGCATGCATCCCTTTCTTATGGGGTGAAATGAGAGGACTGAAGGCAGATGCCTCAGGACTCCATGATCATTTTTAGTTCTATAGGCTAATCCTGGCACCAAAGAAATACCCAATAAAAAATCTAAATATTTGAGGAACATGTATATAAAAGTTGACTCCGTTTTCCAGAAATGTCTTTTTCAAAATATGGCTGCTGTCTATTCTAAAGCTGGTAACTCTCCAGCTGCTGCCATTGGGTTGTAGACAATTCCAGAGTTCATGATCCCATTAAGACGGTCTGCTCTCACTTGATGATAGAGAAAAGGCTCAACATTCTTCCACAAGTGGCTCAGTGTCTGGTCAAGTCTGCTCTCTCCTGCAGCTGAGCTGGACTTGGACAACTGGGTCTGACGTGCTGTGTGCTGTTTCTTACATCTAAGATGATGGTGCATTTATTCAATAAAAATCTGCTGAGCACTATATACCAGGGGCTGTGCAAGAATAACAATGAACCAGAAATGGCCCCTGCACACTAGAAGCTTCCATTTCAGCCAATGTAAGATCGATCTGAGACTGATCCCAACACCTTCGTTTTCCTAGCAGTGTTAAGTCATTGTTATTGTTAAGTGCCATCCAGTCTGTCCCACTCATAGTGACCCTGTATAGGTTTTCCTAGCAGCAGCTGGTCATTTTGAACGGCCAACCTTGTGGTTCATAGTCCGGTACTGATCCTACAGAGCCATACCAGAAGTCCAATATAATTTATTCAGTGTCTTGATAGTTTTAAGTTTCATACATTCACCTCTTTTGGAGGCTGTCTGATACAAAGTCCTTCCCGGACATTTTGCAAGGCTCACAAAAGAGTTTCATGTTGCTGAAGTCTACGTGCCCCAATGAGTTGTTTTCTGCTTATAAAATATTAAAGGTTGCTACATTCTGATTGAGTACTAGACATCAAATGATAAAACACCCCATGGTAAGAGGAAAAATTGCTTTTTAATGGATTGCCTGTTGCCCATTGCCATATTAAATAAGTTACTATTATGAAAAGCAAATCTGAAGGCACTCTTATGTTGAAGGTGATACCTATTTTTCTTTTGAGAAAAATTATTTTCATACACAATTCATCTTCTTTTGGTCTGCATATGCCTGTTTTTCCCTAGTTTCCTAAATTCATGGTTCTCAGCACTTGGATTTGTGTTAATAATTGACCCCCAAACATAGTCACAGTTTGTTCAATAGGCTGCTCCTGATGTCAGAGAAATACGCAATGAACAATCTTGTTTAAAAATGAAAAAAAGATAAAATAAATAAATAAAAAGGATCGAGAGAAAGATTCAGTTGTTCAGAAATTATTTGTCTTGATTTTAACTTAAGATCTCTTAATGAAACCCACTTCTGAAATACCAATTATATTTTTGTGTCTAAAACATGCATAATATTCACTTAATTCACTGATACAAAATATTTACGTACAGTTCTTTTAACTCCTAAAAATTACCCTTGCTTCTTAATTACTGATATTACAAGCAGCCATTGGAGTCCTGTGGCACCGTAGGATAAGCATTCAACCTCAAGGTTGGTTTGAACCAAGAGATTGGAGGTTCAAACTTACTAGCTGCTCCTCGGAAACTCTATACAGGGTCGCTATCAGTTGGAACTGACTCAATGGAACTTAGCAATAAAAACAACAACAATGTTATTTCAAATAAGTGTGGTCTAAAGTAATGTCTGTTCATGTTCTTAGAGCACATTTAGTTAAGGTGCTGTAGGATAAGCACTGGACTACAAGGTCAGTTTGAACCGCAAGGTCAATGGTTCAAGCTCACCAACTGCTCCTCGGAAACCCTATACAGTCACTATGGGTTGGAATCTACTTGAAGGCACTTAACAACAACAACAAACATTATTAAGATTATCGAATCCTGTCTAACAGCCTTAGAAGTTAATCAAGATCAATACAATCTATATTTATTGATGAAAGGGAAACAATTGCGCTACTGTATTTTGTTCAGGGTCACTAGCTCAAGCTGGTGTTAAGAAAACCAAGATGAAACAGTGTAGGAGGAGGCAGGAGAGTGTAGAGTGGTTGGCCTAGCGTTGAATTACAGCGCAGATTCTGTGTTCTGAACTTCCAGTGCCTG